AAAGACTTTTGCACTGTTACATTGTAATGACAAAAATGTGTGAACAGCTTGTAACGAAACTTAGAAAACAAGACCTTCCCTGACCTAGTTGTCTATGAAAGCCTGTAGAGTGATTTTTCTGCGAAGGATTCGGATCATTTTTGCCGAGAAAATTAAAAGGATGTGACGTTTACACACACTACCGAGATCCTCTCTCCCGTTCAATGACACATGAAACGAATGCTTATACAATGTTCAGGATAATGCAGACAGAGCTATTCTGTACAGTAATGTCAATGTGTCATGCAAAGAAAAGGGATTGATTCAAACTATAGTCTCACAGAGCCAGCTCTATATAGTCTATAGTCTCTAATTATAATCAAACTATCATAACTGTGTAATTTTAATTACCTCATCTGTCGACATGATGCCAGTGGAATGATAGACCTTGTGTAAACATCCACAAAGCAATGACCAGATCCTTTCTTAAAGGGGCATTCGGTAACTCTAGCCACTTATTCGCTGATTTTCACTTTTCTTGTCGCATGTTTTCTCAACGAGCTCCCCCTACAGCTGTGGTGTGAATATTTCACAACACTGTCGTAAATTCACTTGCAGTGTCCTCCTCCCCTTTCTACCGTAGACGCGCTCATGTGCTTTTGTTATTGTCGGATCTGGGGGCTGTTCCATAAACCAAGATTAGAGTATAAGCCAGGCTTATTTCGGTTAGTCAGGCTTATTTTTGGTAGATTCGGTTTCATAAATCAAACTTAAAATAGTTCAAACTCAGTTACCCTGGCAACTTATGCTGGGAAACTAGCCTGGTCCAGGGCAGGCTAACTGTCAGGCTAAGCCTCAGTTGTTACACAGATCCTCAACACTGACCGACAAGAACACAATGATATTACCACTGACAGTCTCTAATACCATTATTGGACTTTATAAATACACAGTATACAGAAAATCAACTTAAATAAGGCTACAATAGACAATATATAAGGCGTTTTAAAGTTGTCCGTTTAGGACATGTCATTTTTGTAATAAAGACATTTTAATTAAGGAATGCCTCGGTTATCAGAGAATTCTTTCTCTACACTGTCTCTTATATATATATATATATATATATATATATATATATATATATATATATATATTTTTTATGTACTTTATTATGTCTTTCAATTCAAACACATTTAACACAATTATACAAATGGACAGTTCCTTTAAAGACATCATATTTTCCCCCAATAAATATTCCTTATTTTTCCTTCTACTTTCTTTTTTCTTTTGTGATAATACCAACACATACATATAAATAAAACAATAAATAAATATTAATAAAATATAACATTCACATATATCAAACTCTTATAATGAATGACACATAATTCCTAATAGTTATTCAAGTAATATTATTTAAATATCAAATATTCAATATTAAATAAGTAAATAAATAAAATAACAAATAACTAGAAATAAAAGGGAAGGTTACATAAAAATGTATAGTTAATGTAGGCCAATATATATTCCTTTATTTTATGGAATATTCTTTAATTTTAGAGTTGCACATATCTTTTCAAAATGTATACATTTGTTCTTAATTTAATGTTATCCTCTCCATAATGTACTTTAGAAACTAAATCTAACCACTCATTTAAAGCTGGGGATTCTTGCTTTCTCAAAAAAATGATTGTATTAAAAGCTGTACTTCTCAGCATTCTAAATAAGTATATATCATCTTTATAAAGTAGCATAGGTCCTATACCCAAAACTATATTTTGTATCTTTATATATTTAGTTTCTTAAAAAAAATCTTCCCTGAATTAGGCTACTTCTGTTCAATTTCTTTTTTTTATTAGAAGTAGGCTATAAAATATATGAGTGTAATGAGCTAGAAGTTCACTGCAACTTATTATAATTAGAAGATATTTCTAGTGTTTTCCAAGCAAAATGTATATTTTAGTCAGAATTATTGCGCTCCTATTTGGCGCGCATGCGCGCAGCAGCGCTCGTTCAATATGAAGATTAGCAGCAAAATGGATACATTTGCACGACTTTCTAACATTTACAGATGGAGAATATAACTGTAAAATGTAATTTTTGCACTGAAGGGGGAAAAAAAACATGTCACAAACGCATAAAACAGCACAAAATATACGCTGATTGATGGTGGATCGATTTGATCCACGATCGACCTCTATGGCTGCTTCAGAAACGCGTGCACACGCAATTATCTAGACTAGATAAACCTGGATCAAATTAGTGAGATTGCGTGAACTTCAATTACCTTTTATGGAACCACTTTAGCCCCAACTTATTTGTTAGGCTCATTCAAGTCCGGTTTTGGAGTTTAATCCCCGCTTTTCTAAGCTTCATTTATGGAACAGCCCCCAGGTGTGTTGAACAAATGAGTCCCAGACACTCCAACTTTATCGTGTGGAGCTATGTCTACCGTATTGCCGTAAAGCAGTTCGTGTTACTCACTCTTTCTCGCTTCTCATGAGACTTCCTATTTCCAACTTACAGGGACGGTAGTCCCTATGTTGCAAGGCTGGTTTTCCGCCTGGGAACGCTGGGGGGAGCGGGGAAAGTCACCATTCTCACCAGAACAGGTTATTTAAACATCCAAATGATTTCTAAATGGATTTATTAAGTTGAAAAAGTTGCCAAGTGCTGCTTTAACTGCTGTTTTTTAACCGCTGTCATTTTTTTGTTGTGTTTATTTAGTTATTGAGAGAAAAGTGTCCAGCAAATAGGCTATTTACATATTCATCTAAATGTCGCTCTCAGCAGCGTGGATGTAGTTCACTTAATGGCCACCGGTGTCACTAATAACTAGGGTTTCTGAATTCTACATATAGCCCCTTTAAATAAAATACTATCGTTTTTGCATTTCAGTAATGAGAATAAGATTTTTATTCTTATGCTAATGATATCTGTGCTTAATTGCCACATTAAAAAAATCTCAATGGCCCTATAAATAGGCATAATTTTTTTTAAGCACAATTTAATTTATTCATTTTGATTTGGGGTGAAATATGACTTGAGATGCTTCATAAGCATAAGACAGCAGAAGTGAGGCCGAAAAATGATACATTGTCAAACACTGGTGTTTTAAATGTATCAGAGGTCAACATCATATTTGGTCAATCTATGCTCACAGCCTCACACATTACAAGCTTTCTAAATATTGTCAATTGGCATTTATGTTAAACGCAGACTCAAAAGTCAAAAGCTAGCCAACTCAACAGGAAACATTTTCAGATGTCGCTTCAAAAGCACAATACTGTCTTGTCATCTGAAATCATGGCATTGGGAGTGCAACTAAAGCCAGGCTTAACACGCCATTTCATTACAGCTATCAAACAGTCAGCTCATGTGGGTGTTTAGGGTGGTGATCACATTGATTTATTTTTGTAAGCCCTTCCGCAGCACGAGAAAACAAAGATCATCAGCACATCCAAAATCCATTCACCCGACCTACTGTAAAAGCAATTAACACCAGACCTTCACTCAAGGCCACACTCACATGTGATACTGTTGTTTTATTGATCTGAGGTGATTCAAGTAATTACCACAGTCCAGGGTAATTAGTTACATCTTCAGTAATAGTGTGAGATCTAAACACTAGCTTACAGTTAACTGTTAAGTACTACATACTAGCAATATGATCATTCACATTACTTCACCCAAGCTATTTTGCACGTTTCCTCCTCTAGTTTCATATTACTTACAGAACTTAAAACTAAAGCGTCAGGAAATGATTGATGCCTATAATGCTAACGCTAGTATTAGTTAAATAGCTCTTTGAAATCAAGCCTTCCATTCTGTTCTAAGTGTTATAAACTTCAAATGATCATCTTAAAACTTCATACCTCAGATTAATGAGCAATACTGTTAAAACCCCACATGAAATGCAGTTTTCTCCCCTGTGTACATATTTCAAATTGAAACAGTGAGTTGACAGGAAATATTGTGTTGAATAGCTAATACACTTTCGTTTATGCCGCAGTCATGAGCCATGATTTACTGCTTGCAATTGACAATCAGAGGCATGTGGCATTTATATTTTAGGGGGAGGGGCATTCCACTGAAACTTCATATAGAATACCGGTAGGGTAATGTTCACACATTTAAATCAGATGTTTGCTAATTAAGAAAGTAGCATGTGTGGGAATCCCAATATGGTGGCGCAGTGACGTCATGGGCCCTGCAGCTCTTTATTAAATAAGTGGGACATTCTCGTTCTAGACAGAATTTGATTGAAGAAAAAAATGGACACACCCACTAGTGCAAGATGAGTCATCAGAACTTTTGGTTTGTTTTTCTGGAAGACAAAAGGTCCTTGTTTTCGCACGAAAAAAAGTCAGAAACTTTCGCACGTTAAAAAATAAATACCTCACGTTGTGTCAATCACATTTACACACTGCCTCCGAAACTTTCGCCCGAAATTAAAAAATTCGGATCGGGTTCGATTTTCTGCGTTTTTCGCATGCGTAGCAGGCATTTTGACAATTCAGAGCCGCCGTACAAGCGAATGCCAAAATCCAGAACTGTTTAGGATCAATTGGTTCACGGAAATTGGTGTTCATTTTTGAATCGCTCGGGATAATCCCGTAGCTCCTTCCTTGATAAGGAAGTGGGACTCTCCTTCCTCTCTACGCAATCTCAGGATTGGATGATGGACCTAATATTTCTTTTTCTCTTTTTAAGAAGAGAGAGGACAACAAAATGATCTTTACGCTTGAAGACTCCATTTTGTATTGTTTTGCAAATTTTTCCGCAACGGATTAATTAATACGCATCGGACTCAGTGTGCAAGGTTTCTGTGCGTGACGAATTTGTAGGATGACGAATACGAAAATTTAGGACTCAGTGTGCAAGGACCTAAAGACTTAAATGTGTACTTTTTAAGAGAGTACTAATTTGGCCTCAAAGCTAAAAGATATGCACTGAAAGACACAAAACTCCAATTTCCTTGTGGTGTCTAAACAGTAATGGTGGCAAAGACGTTTACTCACCATTGAGTCCGTTGGGGATGCTCCTGTGATGATGTGGAGCGGAGAGATCATCCATCGATCGTCTTATGGTGCCAACCTTGGTTTCTACAGTCTTGTGTATATGATTAAGATGATGGTCTGGGCTTCCAGCACTTCCACCGCTGGAGGTACTGCTCCCGTCACCAACATCTCTCACAGTTCCCGAACCTCCATTTAGGTTGCTCAGACTGGACTGGCTGTCAATAGAACTCCTTGATCCCGCTCCATTCCTGTCTTCATCCAACATGAGAATGATTTCCTTTAGTTCTGCATTCTCCCGAAGAATGTTCTCCTGGTTGACCTCCAGGTCCTTGAGTTTCTGCTGATAGGTGCTCACCTCCTTCCACACGGAGCTCGCCGTATACCTGCCGAACCTCTGCCATTCCCGAGACAGCTTCTTACCTTTCTGCCGATCGTCGTCGAGAAAGCAGCAGAGTTCCCTGAGCTCCTGGTTATCATCTTGCAGTTTCTGGTTGATATCCTTTAGATTACGGATCTCGTGGAGGTGCACCTGCAGTCTGCGGTTGATGTCCTTCATCATGTTCCCATGTTCCAGCATCAGGCTCATCTTCTCGCCATCAACCCTTCTCAGCCTCTTAATCAAGTCCTCTTTGCTCCATCGGATCAGTTCATCATCAGAGATCTTACTCAGGTCATCGTTAGGACAGTGTTTTGCCATCATGACTCTTACAGAGGAACAGTCTCAGGGTGAAATTTTCAACATAGATCTAACATAATGCTGTTTCAATCCCACCAGAAAAGCACAAAACGCATTAAAAACCCAAAAGGATTCATATAATGTTCACGGGAATCCCTTTGAAAAATTGCAAGACTGTGCATAAACTGATTTGTATTCCAGAGAAATTTATTTTTTAAACTATCACCTTTATTAACGCCTCACTCACCACTAACTTTGAAATCATGCATAATTTTAAATATCCTAAAACGTACACGATATATAAATCCACGGGCATCGTTTTAAATGAAACGCGGTATGTTCTCAAGAAGAAGAAAAATCCTTTAGGCACGAAAGATCTGGGTTTCAAATGCAATATTTAAAAAATAATAATAATTATAAACACAGCCTTCATTTAAAAAAGCATGCCTGCATTCACGTTAAGCTTCAGAGCTCAGATCAGAATGTAGTTCTGTTTGTAGTTTAGCTCCTCACGTGTGTCGATGTTCAGGGTCTCTCTCGGGTTCTGCTCTTCCTCTGAACTGCTGTGTGAAGAAATGATCCGAGCGGATCTGAGCAGGTTCAGGGATGAGAGGCAAAAAGCAGGATCTGCCCTCTTAAAGAGACAGAGCCTACATTCCCAACCCCTTATAAAGAAACACAAGCGGGATTATTTGTATTCTATTTATTATAAGTAAAGGGAAAGAATAAATGATGGAACGTCGATCGACCGTGTCATTACTTTCAAACCACTAATTTTAAAGACCATTTTATATTTAGTTAGTAGATGTCTCGTGGCTGCCTTATCATTCAAAGAAAGTCAAATATGACTTACTTTTCCTATGTGAAAAATGTCATTGAACAGACAAACCGATAAAATGTATAGTACTTAAATGTGATTTGGATAAAAGTGTATGTCCGGTGTATAAATATGGCATTACAATCACACACTACGAAAAAACTGGTATCATCACATAAAATCACATCCACTTGGTCAGATCTTTATTTTAGGACATTTGAGATTTTTGTCTAGGCTATTATTCACATTTCTGTTTGGGTCAAGCTTTCATTTTCTCACAAAATATGTTTTCCTACCTTATCACCCCATATTCATATTAGGCACATCTAGCATTCACTTCAATGAATGACTAAATGAGAATGGTCCATATGTTCCTGCAGAACGTGACTGTGGAGAGATTTGTTGGTGAACTTCGCCCTCTACTGGCCAAACATTATATTTCCATCCGGGTACTACTTACAGGCTGTTACAGGCCACGAAACCATCGCCTAACAATCCGTAAAAAGTATTTTTGGTCGGTTGGTAAGTCACACATTTTTTCCTCTTTATCCTTACTCTTTTAAAAAAAAAAATACTTGTATATTTTAATAATTAATCTCAATCTCATTATTTATCGTATCTTTTCTATAAAAAGATGGTAAATCGGAAAATGTGGTAAAGTTATATTTTGGCATATCACTTAGCTAAAAAAAAAAAGGAAAAAATAAGAAGGTCCTTGACAATTTTACACACTACCAAATAAAACATGTGACGTTATGATGAAATACAGTTTTTTCCGCTTGGCTGCCACAGCTGGCTCCATAGCTCAGTGGTTAGAGCACTGGTCTTGTAAACCAGGGGTCGCGAGTTCGATCCTCGCTGGGGCCTGGAAAGGCGATGCTTTTTCTTTCGACACGTTCATAATATACGGTTGTCGTACTTCAAGAACAAGTGTTACAGTTTCACATACTACAAAGAAAGGTTACACTTTATTTTAAGGGGTCATTGTTACAGTGTAATTATGTGTTTAAGTACTGAGGAATTTTAAGTAACTACATGTACCGGTACTTACTATAGGGTTAGGGTAGGATTAGGATTAGGTTAGTTTCATGTGATTAGGCATAATTTTAAGGGTTAGTTGCATGTAATTAGGCATAATTTACTATTAATTACTATGTTAAGCACATGTAACATAACAAGGACACTGTAAAATAAAGTGTTTACCAAATAAATACTGTTCTGCTTTTATGTTTTTGATTCACTGTTTAATCTGTTTGGCAAAGTGGTAGCATAGGCCTATACAATGTGCAATGAGACCATTTTAAAATCTGATAAACAAAATGTTTTAGCATTTTGCTGACAATAATGAAAAAGTATTAAATTAGCAAAACAAGCATTTTCACCAGTGGTTTCATTAGTTCCTATTTTATTTGTTTATAAAGTGTTCATATTAATCAACTATCAATTTACAAATTGTAGTCTATTACTGATTACAAATTACATGACAAAAATCATAGTCAGTTACATAGTCTATTACATTAAAATTTTTTTTATTACTTTTGACCTAACTCATTTATCACACTGATTTGAATTTGATAATCTTGTACCATATTAATATAAAAATGCAAACAAAAAGTTTATTATTAACAAAATGAAGTGCATTAAACATTAGTTTAATTTGTGAGGTGATGAAAAGCTACTAATTATTTAAATAAAAATGTCAAATTAAAATAAATGAATAGTTTAAAAATAAAACCATTCAAAATAAAACACCTACTAAAAAGGATGATTTTTTTTTACAGTGATATATATATAATTAAAAATTTAAAGATAAAAAATGATTAATTGAAAAATTAGGGAGAATCAATGAATTATGAATAATTTACTGCCATTGTGTGACTAATATGTAATAATCATGAATCATGTAATCAATAGAAAAGTAACTGTAGTCTGATTATGAGTATTTTAAAAAGTTATATAATCCAATTACAAGTACTTCATTTTGGAATCTGATTACATAATATTATATACAGTACTACCCAGCACTGTATATAATAAAACCAAATTAATTAAAAGTGCGGATAAAGTATCATAGATGAATAGCCTGTTACAACTTCTGTGCTTAGGTTAATGTTTGAATAATACAAGACCATGTTTGCCGAGTACACACAAGTACACAAGAGTTGACACAAAACAAGTGCCATAAACATGTCCTAGCATGGTTTAATGTTGCAGATCACTCCACTCATGGGGCGTAGAGTTCCAGTGTCTTTAATGCTGAAAGACTGTCCGGGAACCAGACTGAACTCGAATCTCTGAAGCAGTTTGGCAAGCACAACTTTAGCCTCCATCTGAATGTAGAAATACGCAGAGTTGTTATGATCACAGCAAATTTGGCACTTGGAAAGCAAATTGTGCAAATGTGTGTTTGTGTTTCATCACCTGTGAGAAGACCTGCCCTAGACAGATTCGTGGACCAAGTGCAAATGGGTAGTAGCAGTAATAAGGCCTTTCAGACAAGAACACAATTTGATATCAGCAGATTTCATGCTATCATGTTTATAACATCCTCATAAAACTCATTTACAGCTTGTCCTCATAATGACTTACTTGGGGGCATTCACATCAAATCTCTCAGGATCAAACTTCAACGGATCTTTGAAAAACTTTTCCAGTCTTTGAGAGACGTAAGAACTTAACTGTATGGAAAAAGGTGAAAATGGTTCAAAATAGTCATGTATTCATATACAATTAAACAAGTAAAATTGATAATGCCATTGTTTCGAATTTATTGGAATTATTAAAATAGAATTAAGTCAAAATTTACTCACCCTGGTGTTATTCTAATGCAAGTATGCTGTTCTTTTTTTTTTTCAGACCACAAACAGAAGAAATTTAAGGGAAAAAAAAGTCCTGCTCTGCATCATCCACACAATGGCAGTGAAAAGCTACCAGCATCAAGCTTTTTTTTAAAAAGAAACGGAAATATCACAGAATGATCCCATGCAACATGTGTCGTACATCCCACGTGTTCTGAAGGGTTTATGATATCTATCCATCCATCTTCATCCGCTTATCCGGGGTCGGGTCGCGGGGGGCAGCAGCTCCAGCAGGGGACCCCAAACTTCTCTTTCCCGAGCCACATTAACCAGCTCCGACTGGGGGATCCCGAGATGGTCCCAGGCCAGTGTGGAGATATAATCTCTCCACCTAGTCCTGGGTCTTCCCCGAGGTCTCCTCCCAGCTGGACGTGCCTGGAACACCTCCCTAGGGAGGCGTTCAGGAGGCATCCTTACCAGATGCTCAAACCACCTCAACTGGCTCCTTTCGACGCAAAGGGGCAGCGGCTCTACTCTGAGCTCCTCGCGGATGGCTGTGCTTCTCACCCTATCTCTAAGGGAGAAACCAGCCACCCTGAGGAAACCCATTTCGGACGCTTGTACCCGCGATCTCGTTCTTTCGTGACCCAGCCATCAAGACCATAGGTGAGGGTAGGAACGAAAATTGACCGGTAGATCGAGAGCTTTGCCTTACGGCTCAGCTCTCTTTTCGTCACAATGGTGCGGTAAAGCGAGTGCAATACCACCCCTGCTGCTACGATTCTCCGGCCAATCTCCTGCTCCAGTCTCCCCTCACTCGGGAACAAGACCCCGAGGTACTTGAACTCCTTCACCTGGGGTAAGGACTCATTCCCTACCTGGAGTTGGCACTCCACCGGTTTCCTGCTGAGAGCCATGGCCTCAGATCTAGAGGTGCTAATCCTCATCCCAACCACTTCACACTCTGCTGCGAACCGATCCAGTGAGAGTTGAAGGTCACGGACCGATGATGCCATCAGGACCACATCATCCGCAAAAAGACGACACACTCTCTGGTCCCCCTTTTTGAACAGGGGAACCACCACCCCAGTCTGCCACTCCTTAGGCACTGTACCCGACTTCCACGCGATGTTAAAGAGACGTGTCATTCAAGACAGCCTCTCCACACCCAAATCTTTTAGCATTTCTGGGCGGATCTCATCAATCCCTGGGGCTTTGCCACTGTGGAGTTGTTTGACTACCTCAGTGACTTCCACCAGGGAAATTGACGAGAATCCCCCATCAGCCTCCAACTCTGCCTCTACTAGAGAGGGCGTGTCAGTCGGATTTAGGAGTTCCTCAAAGTGTTCCTTCCACCACCCAATTACCTCCCCAGTTGAGGTCAACAGAGTCCAATCCTTACTGCACACAGGATGGCACATTGGATGGTTCCCCGCTTCTCCGCTTCCCCCTCCTGAGGTGGCAGACAGTTCTCCAGAAACACTTTGGTGCCGACCGAAAGTCCTTCTCCATGTCTTCTCCGAACTTCTCCCACACCCGCTGCTTTGCATCTGCCACAGCAGAGGCTGCAGCCCTTCGGGCCTGTCGGTGCCTTGCAACCACCTCCGGAGTCCTCCGAGACAACAAATCCCGGAAGCCCTCCTTCAGTCGGACGGCTTCCCTGACCACCGGTGTCCACCACGGTGTTCGAGGGTTACCACCCCTTGAGGCACCTAAGACTTTGAGACCACAGCCTCCCGCTGCGGCTTCAGCAATAGAAGCTTTGAGCATTGCCCACTCAGGTTCAATGTCCCCAACCTCCACAGGGATGCCAGAAAAGCTCCGCCGGAGGTGTGAGTTGAAGATCTCACGGACAGGGGCCTCCTCCAGACGTTCCCAGTTCACCCGCACTACCCGTTTGGGCTTACCGGGTCTGTCTAGATTCTTCCCCCAACCCCTGACCCAACTCACCACCAGATGCTGATCAGTTGACAGCTCCGCCCCTCTCTTCACCCGAGTGTCCGAAACATGCGGCCTCAAATCAGTTGAAACGCTCAGCCGGGGGCTTGTGAGTATCCCCACACCCGCCCGGCGCCTCACACCTTGGCCAACTCCAGCGAAAGAATAGGGTCCATCCCCTTTCCGGGAGTACGGTTCCAGAACCGAGACTGTGCATGGAGGTCAGCCCCACCAGATCTAACTGGTAGCGCTCCATCTCCCGCACAAGTTCCGGCTCCTTCCCCCACAGAGAGGTAACGTTCCACGTCCCCAGAGCCAGTCTCCGCTGTCCGGGTCTGGTCCGTCGAGGCCCCTGACCTTCACCGCCACCCATGTGGCAGCGCACTCGATCCCTGTGGATCTGTGTGGATGGTGAGTCCAAAGGATGGAGAGGGGGGTGCCACGTTGCTGTTTCGGGCTGTGCCCAGCGTGCCTCCGTGGCAAACCCGGCCACCAGGCGCTCGCCGGCGGGCCCTCCCTCTGGGCCTGGCTCCAGACGGGGGCCCGGGCTTCCTCCAGGCAGAATCTCTCCTCCTCTTCCTTGTTTTTTCATCATGGGTCTTTATGAACCTTTCTTCGTCTGGCCCCTCACCTGGAACTACTTTGCCTTGGGAGACCCAACCAGGTGCACTAGGCTCCAGACAACACAGCCTCCAGGCTCACAGGGGCACGCAAACCTCTTGATTTCTCACAACTTGTGTGCCGTTTCTGGGCAAGTTGAAGCGCACATCGTGCAGTCGTGCACAGAAAACCAATGGCAGGATTTTTGTAGAATAATACACACAATTTCTGGGTTTTTTTGACAAACCCTGTTGTATATGCCCAGAACACTTGGAATTTACAACACGTGCCGCATGGGATCATTATGTGATACTTGTGCGTCTTTAAAAAAAAAAACTTGATCCTGGTCGCTATTCACTGCCATTATATGGATGAGCGTGAGCGGGGCTTTTTTTTTTTTTTTTTACAAATTCTCCTTTTGTGGTCTAAAAGAGAAAGTAGGGCAAATGGCATTAGAACAACACACGTGTGAGCAAATGTGGGTGACTTAACCCTTTTAAGTCCCCCTGTAGTCAAAATCAAGCTTTTAATGTTGTTTATATGTCTATGTGGTGTTTTTATTATGCTTTAAGACAAACCATGTACAAATTCATAAATCAAAAACTGCAGTGAACCAAAGACCGTCTCAAAATCACGATTTGAAATCGCTGGTGTTTCTGAATTCACAAACTACCTTTTAACCAATCAGTTTAACGTGTGATCTTCACCGAGTGGATCTCTGAGCTGGTATGAGTGAGTGGAGGCGGGGATCATTTGCATATTCTTAGAACCGTGTATACTAAGGCCCCGTTTACACGAAGGGAAATAGCAGATATTTCCCTGCGGTTTGGCCTCTAATTTACACGAAAACCCCGTTTTAATCACAGAAAACGATTATTTCTAAAAACTCCGGCCAAAGTGGAGATTTCTGAAAACGCCGGTTATGTGTTGTCGTGTCAACTGGGAGAAACGGGGTTATAGGTTCTCTCTTGTCGATTCTGAGGATTCTGATTGGCTTGCATGGCTTTATCCTTCTCCCTACACTGCCGCCCATAGGTTTGGCATAGTTATGATGGCACTCGATGGCGTATTTATGCGGGTGTGTGCACGATTTTATTGTTGAAAACGGAGGCGGGGGAAATATTCGTTTCTCTAAATACCCGGCTTTGTGTAAACGTGGCCTAAATGAAGCAAGGATGTAGAGTTAGATTCAAGCTATTTTAAGGCATGAAAACATTTTTTTCAAGGAAAAAACGTTTACATTTGTCATTTTGGTGATCAAAGAGATACAATTATTGACAAAAGGGGGACTTTAACTAAAATATAATATTTACAAACAATGTTGAAGATTTCTTTCTATCTCCATTCAAGTAGACAGGAGCTGTACTTGTGTAGCTAGAAATAGCTTCCCCAGCCAGGTACCACACTGGCCACAGAGTGACCAGACCAGCATTACTGGGGATCTGGCAATACTCACAACAATAGAGCAGCCGCCTGGGACTTTGAGCCCATTCATAACCATGTCCTCATGCAACCAGCGATTGGTACCTGGAGCAGTGGGGTACAGTCGCAGTGTTTCCTTCAAGACCTAATGGATTGAGTCAACAATACAAAGACCAATACAGAACCATTTGTGTTTGTACCATAAAAGACCATCTCTGCAGACCAGGGGTGTCCAATCCTGTTCTTGGAGATCTACCTACCAGCAGAGTTTATTATCCAACCGTGATCCAGCACACCTGTCTGTAATTAACAAGTGCTCCCGAAGATCTCAATTAGCCGGTTCTGTTGCGTTGGATCAGGGTTGGATCTGAACTTTGCAGGAAGATAGATCTCCAGGAACAGGATTGGGCATCCCAGCTGTAGACCAACCTGAGACAAGTAAGTGAATTTCCCAAGGTCTTCATATGAAATGTCTCTCTTTGTCCCAAGAACTTCATCCACTTCTGCTTTAGCCCTGGGAATGAAAAGAAATTCAAACTAGAGCATTGTAATACAAGTCAATGTGGAATAGGTCCATATTTCCAAGGACTGTTTTAGCGTTTACCGTTTATATATCTCAGGATGTCTCCCTAATTCCATGATTGCAAACGAGAGCTGATTTGCTGTGGTCTCTTGCCCTGCAAAAGAATCAAGCACTGTTTATATTTGCTGGGGTTTATGAGCAAAAATCAAACAAAGCTGTAACTCACCAGCAATGAAGAAAGTCACGAAATTGTCCAACATCAGCTCATCATCTTTAGCGTTAGTAACTTTTTCTTCCTCTGCAGCAAAAATGGAAAGTGTTAAATAGTTAAGTAACTCTACCAGTGTTGTGTTGAATATGTTATTATTAGGGCTATTGACTGATTCAAATTTGGAATGAAATTAATTACATGATATGTTGATTAACCACTTTTATTCCCTGATATACTTCAGGCAAAAATCAAAGAACAAACAGGTGTGTATACTGCTGTATGATATTAATTTGAATTTATTTGAGTTTTTAATTTGTATGTGCAGTATTTTATTTTAATTTTAGTGTGTTTTGATTGTAGAATAAAAAGTGATTAAAATGTTTAGTATGCTATTTGTTATTTATCTGTATATATTTTTTTTTTTTTTTACTTCTGCGCTGAAAATGGCCCCCACTCTGGCCCTGTGTTGATCCATGTAAACATTTAAGATGGACGTGAACGTCTTCAGTCGTCAAGTTGCATCTTGCACCATGAGAGCTACGATTTTAAGACAGTGTGTCTTACAAGACAAGTTAAAGTACATGCAGTTTAACCTTTTTTTCCAAATGTGTCTGATTCCTGTAATCTGTTCCTTTCTGTGTTTTTTGGCCAACTTGTATTTGAACTTGAACTGCACCAATGGTAAATTATTTACCAATTTTTTCACATTCATTAGGTTTAAAATGTACAAATACGGTTTAACTTTTTAAATGTGTCTGGCTCCTGTATTCTGTTCCTTTTGGCTGCATTTTTCACTTTTTGGTGTTGTATTTTAACTTTTTTTTATTGCTCAAATGGTAAATTACTTATCAATTTTTCACACTTGTTAGGTTTAAACGTGGTATGGTATGATTAAATGATTAATTTAAGCACATTTTGAAAATAATAAAATTTTTTATAATTTGCAGCCCAGATAAAAATGACCTGTACAACAAATGGAAGAAGGAAAATCCACATACCTGCCGTTCTGAGGATTTGTGTGAGAATGTCTTGCGGTACATCGTCTCCATTTTCTACTGCTGTCTTCCTGTTTTGTATCCATTTTTCTCCTGTTTTACGCAGGAGTTCAGTTGCATCTTTAACTTGCTGTATAATCTTCCAATTCTTGGGAAAAAGCTGAGGTCCCACATTTAAAAAATAAAAACAGATTATATATCATTAACCCTACTACTTTAGGGTGACATAAGCAATTGTGGATAAATTCTTACTCTAAAAAATGGGTCTCTGATATCCAACACCATGCCTTTTAAACACAGCTCTACTGCATTCTGGAAGGGGCTGTCAGTTTGCTTCAAGAAATTCAAATCGACACCGAAAGCCACCTGTGGATAAAAAAACGACTACTAAGTATTGATCAACAGCTGATTTGACTTTCCTTGTATTAGGCTTTCCCTTGGATTAGCAGATAGGAAAGTGAAACCTTGCAAATGACATCGAGTGTGACACAGTTGACCAGGTCGTGCATGACGGCAGGTGTTTTCGTCTCTGCTATTTCCTCCAGCTTGTCCATTAGGCGCTCCGACATCTCGTTAAAAGTGCCCATCAAGCCTCGTAAGTATCTGACCAATGAGACGGCATCAGCTGAGGTGCATCTGTATCACATTTCAGTATATCAGAGATTTGCTGTATTTGACTCACGAGCTGCTAAAGGCAGGATCCATGATGCGACGCTGCCTGTACCAGGTGTCATGGTCCCCAGCCGTAATCAGCCCGTTCCCCAGGAACCTGAGAAGATTGAGTCATGTGACTTATTCAACTGTAAGGTCACCATTGGCAAAGCAAATCCCATAAAATATTCAAATTCGAATATGAATTAAGCCACAGTCACACTAGACTCTTTGAGAATGCAAAATGTAGGCCTATTTAATAAATATTTTCTAAAACATGCATTCAACATATAACAAATAATAATAAATGCAAAATGTAAAAATAGTGTACAGTCTACTCCACCTCCCCTCAAAACTGCAAACCTGCAGCTTTAAAGTGTGAGTTCTTTGAATACCTTTGGAATAAGCCAACTTTTACTTATATACTTTTTACTCAAATATAATACATTTATGGTACATTGCTTGTATGTTTCGAAGACACTCGTTATGAATTTGTAATTGTAACACAAATAAAGCAGACTTTAATATCACTAATCAAGCATGTAATTAGTCCCTACACAGGCATATACTTAAAGTATACTTGAAGTTGTTCCAATTTAGCACAGTTTTATACACTAAAAAGTTATACTTTACTACAATTTAATTACAACTAAAATATACTTAGTACAAAAATAGTTGTTCCGAAATACCACACTTCAAGTTCACTAATCATTAACACATTTGAAGTATACTGAATTAGTCTGGCTGCAAGTATACTTAGCTTTTTTTCACCAGGGAAACATACAGTGGTAGCCAAAACTAATGTTTGGCCGAGGGAAATTCTTCACCCTTTATTCAAAAATTATTACAATTTGTAACAGATTTTGTAGGCCTATTGCGTAGTTGTACAATGAAACATGCCAAATAGTGCAGCCATAATTTTGTCCAGGCTGTCATACAAAGAAATTATGACACATGCAATAACAAGAAAAACAAGCAAGCCAAATACGAGCAAGCCAAGTACGCTTAACTTTATTAGCTTAAAGATTATATGGGCAAAGGAACTCGTGAACCCAACTTTAGCATTTTGTTTTTCCCTCATATTTAAAAAATATAAAATATTTAGATGGTTTTATCAAACTTGTTTTGTCATTAAAAACAAATATCCCCTCCGGACATCACTTTTTGCCACTACTGTAGATGATTTTAAAGCTATCGGACTAAATGCAGCATAGCTTAGATTTTGATTTCATGGGGCCTCTTCCATAAAAACTTCTAGATGATAGTAGGAATGTGCCTTAGAGTAGCCCACTGCTATCAATGTACAGATATTGACAGACTTCACCTAGCAATGCTGTGACATATCCAGAAAAAATTAAACATACCTTTTTCCAAACAAGTTAAAGAGGCGTTTGTAGACAAAAGGATCTTTGAGATACTTAGGTGACATCAGGACTGTCTACAATAACAGGGCATAGATTTTATTTTATTAGATTTTGTGGCTTCGGATAGGCTACTATTTATACAATTTATACGATAGGCTAAGACATACAATATAAAATATTTACCTTTGTAGCCTCAGGACAATGAACCATGATCATGACATAATGAAAACTGTTCATCCTGTAGACAGGGCCATATTTTTCTCCCCTTAAAAACAAGAACATGGCCACATTGGCGAGGACGCTTTACCAAATTTCCCCTAGAGGATCAATAAACAGTATCCCTATATCTATATATTTCTTTAGCCGAAGTGAGGAAATGCCTGTTATTGGTGAAACAACTGTGATTTTTAGGTAACACTTTACTTGAAGGGGTGTCTGTAAAAAAAAATCCTAATTTTACAGAAAATAACTGTGATTTTTTGACGATCATTTTCTTTCATTTTAAATTGTACTCAAAACACTGTAAAAATTACAAATAATATCTGTAAAATAAAAATGCAGCTGTTATTTTAAGTATTGTGACATTAATGACAAATTGCAGTAATTCACATTTTTTATACAGAAAATTGATTGTATTTTTCATACAGTATTTTTTTCTGTTTTCTTAAATTACATGAAAATGTATGTAAAATTACAAATTATAATCTGTAATTAAACAGTAACAAAACAGTTAAATGATAAACCGGTCAAATGACTGGCAGCCCCCAAAAAACTGTAACATTAAAGTAAAACATCCTAAATTAAATAAACTGAAAAACACTGTGACAATTCAGGATATACCTGTAAAATAACAATCATATACCTTCAGTGAAAAAAAATCGTAAAAAAAGAGTCAAATGACTGGCAGCTACGGCTGCCAAACAAAAACCATAAAATAAAAGTAAAATCTTCTAATTCAAATAAAACAAAAAACACTGTTATTTCACAGGTATTTCCTGCATTACGGTATTATGATCATATACCTTCATTGTAAAAAAATCTTTAAAAAAGGGTCAAATGACTGGCAGTTTAAAAAGTGACGGCTGCCAAACAAAAACCATATAATTAAAGTAAAATATCCTAATTTAAATAAAGTGTAAAAAAACTTTAACAGAAATGTGATGTCACCATGATTGAGATCAGTGTTTACTTTAGTTGGGCTCATGACTCTTGAGTTTTAACATTAGTTGTTCTCTGGCTGCTTTAACTGTGTTTTGATGCACATTTATTATGGCAATAATTGCAAGAGAAAATAGAAGATGATCTTGGTCATTTATTGATGATTTTATAGTCATTATATGATGATCTGATTCACTGATATGACAATCAAATCTCTATTGGCTGTGAATACATTATATATAGATACTTTAGTGTTATACAAAGGCAATTATTAATATCATACTTTTTTCACATGATTTGTTGAAATATTGTGGCATCAGTATTATAGCAATCTCAAATAAATAAATAAATATTCTACATAAAATGTTTTGAGGTGGTTTATTTTGTTAGGAGTATAGAGACATCAAGAATCAACATATGAATCTCAACAATGGTGACAATCAACAAAGCCTTGTTGTGACTGTGATGAGGGGGGCGTGGTTTTAGCGCCGTCTGTAGTGAGAGACAAGTCAGAGGGCGCGGCGGTGAGTAAGTGGGTCAAGTGCAAATGATAAACACCTGTGTCTGATTGCAGTGATTGGCGTGGGGAGACGGATAAAAACCACAAAGTGAGAGAATGAAGCGAGAGAGGAGGACTGGCGACTCGTGCGTGAACAGTGTGGAAACTGGGACAGCTGAAAGCAGCGTGGAAGGAGATTATCTAAAGCTGTGGAGGACGTTGAAGCTGAACCAGCGTGGGAAGAGTTGTTATTGGAAATATTGTGTTGCTGTAGTAGGACTACGGTGAATGCGCTGTGTGCGCACGATTTATTATTTTTGTTGAAAAATAAAAACGTACGAGTCCCAGTCTCGCCGACCCTGTCTCCTTCTTCCTCCATAAAGACGAACTTTGTTACACTGGTGCCGAAACCCGGGAAGAAGGAGATCGGCCGCCGCCATGCAGAACCCGTCAGGAACGCCGTTTGCGGACATCATCCAGTCACTCGCGGCTCTTCAAAGAGACCAACATCAGGCCCTCCTGAGCGTTAAGGAGGAGCATGAGCGGCGCTTTCAGGCGCTGCTCCAAGGTCAACAGGAAGACCGCGAGTTGTTCCGGAGCTGTCTGGACCGGGAGACTCCGGCCAGCCCCCCTCCAGCATCAGACTCGGCCTCGCCGCTCACCTTGTCGAAGATGGGTCCAGCTGACGACCCGGAGGCCAGGTGGTACTGGAACAGTTTATAGTGAAGCTCCCCAAGAAAACTGCACAGTGGGTCCAGTGCCACCGCCCGACGTCGCTGGACCAGGCCATCCAACTGGCGGAGGATCACATGGTGGCGTGCTCTGGGGTCGGCGAAACCCTTCCATCTGTCTCTCTCTCCCCCTCTCTCTCTCTCTCTTCCCCGGCCTCTACCCCCTCCCTTTCTACTAAGCCTGTCCCCCTTCCTAGGTCGCGAGGAGGCTTCGCACCCAGACCAGCGCCGAGGTGGAGGTCTGGGTGGTCCGGTGACAATGGCGCGGCCGGGAGGACGGCGACGAGGGGGACACCGGCTGGGGAACTTTCCACCCTGGCGCAGCTGGCACCTCTCTCCCCACGTCAATCCCTTGGCCCACTTCCTGCCGCTGGAACAGCGGTAAAACCTGGGCCGGCCTGTTGGCGCTGTGGGGACCCGGGCCACTTCATCGACCGGTGCCCGTTGATGGAGGTGGGGACACTGGTTCGGGTCCCCGACGCGCCAAAGGCCGCCCCCGATCAAGCCGGCCCGTACCAAATACCAGTGAGTATAAAGGGGGGTACTTATCAGGCTTTGGTGGATTCAGGATGCAACCAAACCTCTATTCATCAAAGCCTGGTTCGATCTGGGGCATTGGATAACAGCCGCGTGGTTAAGGTGCGGTGTGTGCACGGGGTGGTGGTGAGTTATCCCTTAATGTCGGTAGAAATTCTATTTAGGGGACAAAAACATAGTGTGGAGGTTGCAGTTAACCCGCACCTCCGGCATCCGCTAATCTTGGGAACGGATTGGCCTGGTTTCAAGAAGTTATTGGGGGTTTTATGTGCGGATGTCTCTTGGGAAAAGAAGCACCAGGGGAAGACAGCGGTGGTTCAGGTGGGGGATGCTGTACCGGGGCCTCTGGGTACTGCTGTAGGGGAAGAGAGCACTTTGGAGGGAAATATCCTCTCCGAGCGCGATGATTTTCCCCTAGAGCAGTCCCAGGATGAGACGCTAAAACGCGCGTTTGACCAGGTCCGTTCCATCGACGGTCAGCTACTCCACCCGGAGCAACCGCTCTCTTACCCCTATTTTTGTGTGCTCAAAGATAGGTTGTATCGGGTGACCCAAGACGCCCAGACAAAGGAGGATACAACCCAGTTGTTAGTACCAAAGAGCCGTCGGGAAATGCTTTTCCAGGCGGCTCACTGTAATCCGATGGCCGGTCATTTGGGGCAAACGGCGACACTAAACCGTCTCATGGCCCGATTCTTTTGGCCGGGCATTCACGAGAACGTGCGCAGGTGGTGCGCGTCTTGTCGTGAATGTCAGTTGGTTAATCCACCGGCCAACCCAAAAGCACCCTTGTGCCCCCTTCCGCTGATGCAGGTCCCCTTCGAACGAATTGGTATGGACCTCATCGGGCCATTAGAACGGTCAGCACGAGGGCATCGTTTTGCGTTAGTCTTGGTAGATTACGCAACACGATACCCGGAAGCAGTCCCGCTTCGCAATATCTCCGCTAAGAGTGTGGCAAGCGCGCTGTTTTCTTTAATCTCCCGGGTGGGGATCCCTAAAGAGATCCTCACCGATCAAGGCACAGCGTTTATGTCACGAACGGTTCGCGAGCTTTACGAATTGTTGGGCATTAAATCGATTCGCACCAGCGTCTATCACCCACAAACGGACGGCCTGGTCGAACGGTTTAATCGTACATTGAAAACCATGATTCGTAAGTTCATTCACGAAGACGCCAAAAATTGGGATAAATGGTTGGAACCCCTTCTGTTTGCTGTGCGCGAGGTCCCCCAAGCCTCCACGGGGTTTTCCCCCTTCGAACTTCTTTTCGGTCGCCAGCCCCGTGGGGTGTTGGATGTACTGAGGGAGGTTTGGGAGGACGGACCGTCCGCTAGTAAGAACGAAATTCAGTATGTCCTGGACCTGAGAACAAAACTCCACACATTGGGGCGGCTCTCTTTGGAGAATTTGTTACAGGCCCAGGACAGACACAGACAGCTATACGATAGGGGGACTAAACTTCGTCAATTCGCACCGGGAGATAAAGTACTTGTATTACTTCCCACGTCTAGCTCGAAATTACTCGCAAAGTGGCAAGGGCCTTTTGAGGTCACACGGCGAGTTGGTGATCTCAACTATGAGGTAATTCGATCGGATCGGGGTGGGGGACGTCAGATTTACCACCTCAACCTGCTTAAAAAATGGGTTGAGGCTGAAGCAGTGATGCTGGCGACGGTGGTGACTGGAGAGGAGGATCTCGGGCCAGAAGCGAATGTCAAATCCCAGTCATTCGCTCTGGCTCCCTCTGGTGATCACCTCTCGCCCTCGCAGCTCGCTGACATCACAACCTTACAGGCAGAATTTGCCGATGTGTTCTCGCCCCTGCCTGGTCGAACGAACCTCATTCAGCACCACGTTGAGACAGATCCGGGGGTCGTGGTACGTTGCCGCCCGTATCGTTTACCTGAACACAAAAAGAAAACCGTTCAGGCCGAATTAGAGACAATGCTGGACATGGGGGTCATAGAAGAGTCCAACAGTGACTGGGCGAGCCCGATCGTTTTGGTACCCAAACCTGACGGTTCGATTCGGTTCTGTGTGGATTATAGGAAGGTGAACGCGGTGTCTAAGTTTGATGCCTATCCAATGCCCAGGATTGACGAGTTGCTTGATCGGCTTGGTTCTGCTCGCTTTTATTCGACGCTGGACTTAACAAAAGGTTATTGGCAGATCCCCTTATCTCCAATATCGAAAGAAAAAACAGCTTTTACCACGCCGTTCGGATTGCACCAATTTGTCACACTTCCGTTCGGGTTGTTTGGGGCACCGGCGACTTTTCAGCGTTTAATGGACCGAATTCTCCGGCCGCATGCTGCATATGCCGCTGCTTATTTAGAT